CTCCCTCCCCACAGCGACCCCATATAACCACTGCAGGACCGCTCTCACACCGCTCCCAAGAGCGCTCTCACGCCGCCTTTGCTACAAAATCCATTCAACGTAGTGCGCGTGATAAGCAGCGCAAAAGAGCAAGACTCGCGCACTTTCGGCAGCATGAGGTGCGTGGCTTGCTCTGCCTGCGGGTGCACCGGGCGTACAGCCACATCGCACTAGAGGCCGGCGCACATGCCATCCCCACAAGCTTTTGGTGCCCATGGCCAAGTCAAGCCTCCTCATCCAGCTCGGACAAGTCGCTCAAGCTCCCGCTCAGACTGACTTCACCGCTAAGACTCAGCAGACCGACAACGACGCCATCATCGACCGTGGACGACCGCTGACGGATGTCGCGCAGATCGCGGAGGATGACCCGGACCAGGAGGATGACCCCACTGCTGAGCGCGAACATGGCCATGACCACAAACAGCAAATGCGAGAGACTGTTTGGAAAGTCATCAGCCCAGAAAAATGCGCCCACCGTGAGCACAAACATGGCGATGCCGTTGAGCGCCAGCTCGACCGAGTTGTGCGAAGCCTTGGCAAACGGCTGCAGCCGAAGCTGGACAGCTCCAAACAGCGCAAAGAGGCAGAGGAGGAAGAAAAGGAGCCACACAATGAGACGCGACGCAAACATCGCCACTGCAACCAGCGCAAGCCGCTTGCCGAGCAGCGCAATCTCAAACAGGTAAAACTGCGGCTTGTACGCCTCGTACAGCACGCCGAGCTCGGCCTTCACGTGCGGCTCGCCCAGCGAGTTGCGCGCCCGTGCAAGGATCACAAACAAAAACAGCGGGAGCCCGATGACGTACGCCACCACCGCAAACAGCCCAAACGGAAGCATGTCAAACCACTGGTCGTCAAAGCACTTTTGCCCCACGTCCGCGTCCAGCACGTACTCGCCCGATGGCAGCCGTGTGCAGTCAAATAGCAGCAGCGACGCGTACGCCGACGTGATGTACAGCATCGGCCCCACCACACACACCAACCGCCGCACAACCTGGCCCACCTTCACATCGCCAAGTCGGAACACGTACCGCGCCGTCGCCGCCGCCGCAATCACCACAGCCAACAGCAATCCTGGCAATATGACCGAGAACTTGTACGTCAGCGCAAAGTCGTCCAGCACGCACTCGGCACCCACCAGTGAGAACGAGAGATTGAAGAGCGAGAACAGGTCGAGTGTAAAGTTGAGTGGCGACGGCCAGTTGAGCAGCGACGCTCCGCCAATCACCGCCATCGTCTGTACGTACAGCACCGCTGCCTTGACCCCGTACGGCGTCGACATCGGCACAAGCTCGCGTCGCGCCTTGTTCTGCCGCTGCGCAAGCACAATGACGCCCGTCACGAACCCAATCGTCACCACAACCACGCCTGCCACAAAGACGACAAAGACTAGCTTGGCCGACGCCGGGCACTTGACGCACCGCAGCGCACGGTTCGTGTAGTACCCGTCCTCACACTTGCGGCACATAAAGTCGGTCGTCCCACGCTCACACTCCGAGTTGACCTTGCACGAGTCCGGCCGCGGGCACGGCGCCAACTGCGCCGCCACTCCTGTAACGTTGGAGACGTCAAAGTAGCCTTGAGCCGCAACAGGCGCCTCCACTGACGAGCCGCGACAGATCCCTCCGACCGGGCACATCACACACACCTCGTTCCGCCTCCGGTTCGGGGACCAAAACCCGGGCTTACACTCGCACGGCCCGACATCGAACGCCGTCGACTTGCCCGGCCGGTGCGTGTTGCGCGGGCAAAGCGGATACGGGATGCACGACTCAGTCGTCGTCTCCGGTGAGTACGATCCGTCCTGGCACTCGCCACACAGAAATGGCGATGGCGAGATGACGCCGTATCCGCGCGGGCACGCACCGAGTCGCACTGACGCAGTTGCCATCAGCGACGCGGACTCAACCATTGTTCCCGTCAGCACAAGGTTGATACCGGCAAGAACCTCCGTCGTCTCCCCAAGCATGTCGGCATCTGCGGCTGCCAAAACCGCACCCGCCATCGTCGCCTGTCCCATCGGCGTCGCACTCACTGCCACAAGCACCTTGTCGCCAAGCAGCTTGAGCTGCGCCTCGGAGCCCGGTGCCACTTGGAGCGACACCGTAGCATCTGCACTCGGATTGCCGTACGCATCAAAGACTTCAAACACGAGCTCACTGGCCGGCGTCCCCGAGACCAGTTCCACAGGTGTCGTCACATTGGCCAACCGCAGATAGACCGGCCCGCTCCGCACGTTGCGCAGTGCCGACGAAGCCGCAACATCTAGCCACCCGGTCTCGCTCAGCGCCACCGCGTTCTCTAGCGCTCGCCCGTCTACCATCGCGGGCACGCATGTAAACGTTATCGAGCCCGAGTCGACGTCAGCGTCATGACTCGCCTGCCCGCCCTCGGTCGCATCCATCACCTGAAGCGTTGCCCCGCATAGGTACGCCACATCACCTCGATGTGCTGCGTTGCCTGAAAACGTCACCCGCTCCATGGCAACCCGCCCGCCGCTCGTCGTGGCGCTTCCTACCGGCCGCCACGGCAGCTGCGACGGATCACTGTCCATAGGCGAAGCAAGCGCGTCGTCAAACGCCGCAATCGCTCCGCCGTACATCGCCGTGTTCGCTTCAAACTGAACGTCAGCAAGGAACACCTCCGATGCCGCTGCAGGCATCACAAACTCCACCGCAACTGCTCCGCCTACTCCACTTGAAGCTGCGCACTCGACAAAGCTCGATCGAGTCACAGACACACTCGCGCCGCTCGAGACAGCAATCGCGCCGCCAGAGCCGGAGGACGTGCACTTGCGGAAAGACGTGTCAGCCACTGCAAGACTCCCATTGCTGGTCACAGCCAGGAACCCGCCGTCCACACGCACCTCCCGCAAGTCGCCAAACGGCGAGATCCCCGAGTTGGCATGAGCCACGCTGCAGTTGCGCATCGTGAGCGCCCCTTCGTCTCGCACCTGAATCCCCGGTCGCGGCGGGTATGTCAGCGCAGACGTCGTACCCAAGATCACCAGCGAGTCCAGCGTAAGGCTCCCGCCATCCTTAATGTCAAACAACACTCCACCGGATCCGCAGTTGATAGTCCCGGAGCCAGGCACGTCAAACGACGGATGAATCGTCAGCGGCCCGAGCCCAGGCTCGTACTTGACCTCAATCGGCGAGCGCGGGCATCCCGTGTACGTGCTCGGCAGCTCGATAAAATCAGCTCTATGTCGGTCGCGTGTCGCAAACGCGTCCACTAGGCAATCGCTGTCCGTGAGTGAGTTGCAACTCGACGGCAAACAGTAGGTGCGAAAGCCGAGCGGCCATGGGCCACGGTTGACAACAACTCCGAAGCCACCAAACGTCAATAGACGCAGCACATCAAAGTCTCCATCGTTGTCCATGTCCACCAGCCAAGCCGTCCGCTTGCGATAAGCCATTGTTCCTGCTTGGAGTGAGATTAAGCGTGGCTCAAACACACGGTCGCCCTTGTTGATGAACGCGGTTAACCCAAACTCAGCAAAGTTCAAGTGCGCCTTGCCACTCCAGAGAATGTCCATCAGCCCGTCCCGGTTCACGTCTGCATACCCTGCCTCAAACAGCGGGTTGTTAGGGTAAGGTGCTAGGCACTCGGCGAGCGTCGCCTGTGTCCCCACCTTGTTCGGATCAGTGTGGCTGGTGTAGGTAGGAAAGTTATGCGGCACGTTGGTGAAAGACGTAGTACCGGTTCCGTACAGCACAAAACACTGCGTCAAACATCGTGGTATCCATCGTTATCAAAATCAAGGACCGGCTGAGCGCCCTGCTGCAACAAGCTGGCCATCGTCGACGGAGTTGTCCACACCCTCGTTTGCGTGAACGATACCGCGCCGCCATTGTTGCGGAAGAGTCGAAATTGTGTCCCGTAGTCGACCAAAATGTCCCAGTGACCATCACGATCGTAGTCCAGTACCGTGATTGCATCCTTACTGCCAGTCACCGACGTGCCGTACCCGCGCGGTGTCCATGAAAGGCCATCACCCACAGCGTTCTCAAACCAGACCATAGCTCCGCTGGAAGAGTGCACCATCGGCAGAATGTCAAGATCGCCGTCCTTGTCAAGGTCAAACGTGGTCACAAACTTCATCTTGAGCGGCGAGGACGACATAGTCCGCACCACGAACTGACTCAGCAGCGTCGCCGAACTCGTCGAGACTAGGGCCGTCACCGAGTATCCAGTCCAAGACTGAGACATCAGATCACCCCGCCCATCTCCGTTCAAATCAGCAACAAAGAGAAAGCCTCCGCCGTCGCCCATGTTCAACCCCAGGCTTTCAGTGTGCTCGAAGCTCCCATTGCCAAGAGCGACAAAGACATTGAAGCCGAGCGGAGCGCCACCACCTCCGCCAGTGTACCCCACAATGTCGAGCATCCCATCGTTGGTAACATCCAAGGCGTTGATGCTGCCAATCTTGAACATGCCCTCCGGTGTCAGCTGCCGGACAAACGCGTCGTAGCCGTACATATGGCCCGGGCCTTCGGTCTGGCAGGGCCAATCGGCCGCCACCATCTCCGCCCGCCACACCACCACCACCGTCAACCAGAGCCCCACCACAGCAGCCAACAGCACCCGCATGACAACCAAAGTCAACCTTCTGTTGACTCACGAATTACGCCTGATGCCCTTGGCTAGCCTGAGTGCGGTGTGCTCGACCCAGTTGCACCCTCTCTTCCCTTCCACTCTCCCGCACCCCTTCCTGCTCACCGCAGCCTCCGACCGCACTGCCTACCCACGCGGAGAGCACTCGCCACCCGAAAAAAGTAAAGCAACTTGTTCTGCCCAGTAACGCAGCCACCTCCAGCCACACCATGACCCACACGCCCACCCTCATGCAGCCATGCGTCCCAACTCATGCCACACACATGGTCAACTCCGACACACATGCCCTTCCTCCTCCCTTCGTCTTTCCCTCACAAAGCCCACGCATAACCACACAGGTCGGACTATGTCGCGGTGGCCCTGCGGTGGGCACGTTTCGTTTGGTACGCACCTTTTTTTGGGGGAAGAGCAACCAACAACTGTCATTGGTCTCCATCGCCGACCACCCGCACCCATCTTGCGCTCCCCTTCCTCGCCTTCCCCCTCCCACAGACACACACACACACCACACTCCTCTCCCCAACCCTGAACTGGTAGACACTGCCGACGTATTCGTGACCTCAGGAGCACCATGTCTCGTCCGTGCTTGCTTCTCACAGTCGTTGCAGTCATGGTCGCCGGACTGTCTTGCGCCGTGGCTGCCGTCGACGGGCCTTGCGTCCAGGTTCCCCCGCCAGCCCCGTCTGATTCACTCGCGCGGCTGCTGACCAACACGGCCAATGGAAACCATCTTGCTTTTGTCGACGTCGATGAAGACGGTTGGCTCGACCTACTCAGTGCGGCCTCGGGCAGCTACTCGTGGTACAAGAACAACGGCGACCGCACGTTCTCGACGGGGCCGTCGGCGTCTCATTTACCACCCCCGGCTGCACCGCCATCCGCTTCCGTATTGCTGATCTGAACGCCGATGGCCTGGACGACGTTGTCGTCACTTGCACCAACCGCTACCTGGTGATGCTCAACAAGCCAGGCGGCGACTCAGCGTTCACGCACGTGCTCGTCGGCACCGCAACCAACCCGTTCCAGGCCATTGTCCATGACATTGACGGTGATGGTGACCCCGACATTGTGTCGACATCGAAACAAAACGCGCTTGTCAACATCTACTGGTTTGAGAACAACGGCGCCGGCACCGGGTGGACCGCACATACCATCGACACCGCTCGCACTGCTCTCACCTCGCAGCCGATCGATGCCAACAACGACGGAGCCACCGACATGCTCATTCTCGACTACAACGGCGGCGTCCAGCCGACCCGGGGCTACGTCAGCCTCTGGCTCAACTCGGGCGACGACATCAACTGGCTACCGCAGGGCACCCTTACGCCGCACGAGTACCTCGCCAGCTGGTATGGCGTGGGAAGTCAGCCCCGGATCGACTTTGACCAAGACGGAAACGAGGACTTTGCCACTTGCTGCCATGTCTTCTTTGGCCGCGGTGATGCCACCTTCAAGGAGACAGTCCGTCCGTTTGCGTGCAGTCACCAATGGATTCCGTACAACAACTACTACATCGACCTGAATGTGGACGGCAAGATGGACTTGCTCTCCTTCCACAGTGCGACTGGCAACCAACATGGCGTGCGGGCTTTGATCAACCTTGGCAACCGCGACTGGGATGTGGTCGTGGTTGGCCACTTTTGGTACGCGACTGACATGCGGATGGCCATCGCTGACATCGATAATGACGGCGACCTGGATCTTTTTAACGTTGGAAGCAGTGGCGTTCCCACCTGGCTCGAGAACCGCGGCTCGCATCCGCTTGGCTTTCGCACCGTTTGCCTCTCACCCTCGTGCACCACGCTCAACGGTCCAGGCTGCCTCTTCGACCAGATCGCCAACTTTGACACGCACCACGCACTCCGGTACGAGTTTCGTAACCCTGGCATCCACACTGGATGCCCCACTAGCCACGTCAGGGTCCCGAAGTCGTCGATTCCGCTTCAGCTGACTCCATCACCGAGCGAGTTGGCCATCATTCGCATCGACTGCAACGGAGCAGGCGTTCTGTTTGAGGTTCCCCACGACTCGTCGCTTGAGATGACGTCGATGGAGATAGCGGGGTTGTCGGGAGCGATCGCTGATGGCACCCCTCGTCCCGCCTTCCATGTGCAAGGCGTCGACGCGCGGCTCACGCTGCGCAACGTCACCATCTCCAATGCTGTCTCGACTGCTTCCGGTGCGGCAGGCGGTGCAGTGTCTGTTGGTGCCCAGGGCGAGCTTACACTCTCCCACGCCACTTTTCGCAGCTGCACCGCAGGATCGAATGGCGGTGCCATCCACGCCTATGCGCCTCGCAAGATGGACATGATCGATGTCACCTTTGACTCGTGTGCAAGCCCAAGCCACGCTGGCGGCGCCGTGGCCCTCGAAGTCAACCCCGATGAGCCGCCGATTATCTGGACCGACGTGGCATTCAAGAACAACTCGGCGCAGTACGGCGGTGCTCTTTCACTGGTTACCGTTCTCTCGTCTCAGCCGAGCTTCGACTACCCGCTCCAGCTCGACCCAGAGGCGGCACCCGCCGCTGCAATCGCCGTTGAGAAGCCGAACATGCTCCAGCTCGCCGGCACCGTGCTCTTTGCAGAGAACAGGGCCGAGTACGGCGACGTTGCCTTTGACTGTTCGGTCGCAGTTGTCCTCGGCGCGCTGCATCCTGCCTCGGCCCAAGACACGGCGCGGAGCCCTATGTTTACCTGTGTTCCGCAGGCGGCGATGGGCGCGTCGAGCACGACGCTGGCTCTTGTTCCTTGGCTCTCCGGCGACGACGCGACGGTGGCGTTTGTCGGCGCGGGCGCGCAGTCGCCGGTGGCGCGGGTCACTGGACCGACCACACCCATTACCGTTGTCTCGGGTGGGATGCTCGCCAACTGGAACGTGTCGACCATCGACGCCTACGGCAAGTCGACTCCCGGCGTGACCGTCGTTCTCTCGGTGGCACCCGAGTCCAGCAACGCAATAGCTCTCTTGCGACCGCTAGTGACGTCGGTGACCGACGCTACGGGCTTGGCAACATTCCCGGATGTCGGGCTCTCCGCCATCACCGCCGCCAACCTCAATACCGATGAGTGGTTGTTGGCCACGCTCACTCTGCCCGGCACCGTCCGTTCTGGTTCTGTGCCGGTCGTCAACATTCCTGTGCGAGTCAGGGGATGCGGCATCGGGTGGGGTGCTGAGCGCAGCTCGCCAATCTCGTGCGCGCAATGTCCCGACGGCCTGTTCTCATTTGAGGAGAGTGGCGAGGCGTGCGTTCCTATCCCGATCTGCCCTATCAACACTGCCCGGACTGGTGAGGCTGTGTCTTCCACATCGCTCGTCCCGTGCACCTGCCTCCCAGGCTACTGGTCGCCGAGCCGGACCAACAATGTGGCGTGCGTGAGCTGTCCGTTTGGCGCGATTTGCTCCGGCACTTCAACTGAGCTTCCAAGCGCGCAGCGCGGATTCTATGACGTTGCCAATGTGACCGGAGCCGCTGGTGTTGACATGATCGAGTGTCCACGACCCAACTCTTGCGCTGGCGCGTCGCGGTGCTCGCCTGGCACGACTGGCTTCATGTGTACCGTCTGCGAGGACGGCTACTACACTGGGCCATCTGGTGAGTGCGAGGCGTGCGGCTCGACTACAAGCACGCTTTTCTACGCCTTTGTCTCGGCGGTAGTCGTCCTTTCCATCGTGGCGGTTGTCATTATGGCGGTCATGGCGCGGCTGGACACCAAGTCACAGCGCTTGGCCGCGGCCGGTACCGCAGCAACCGTTCGTCGAGTTGCCTCGGGCATGCCGCATGGCATCAAGTCGGGCATCCTCTTCCTCCAGATCCTAGCAGTTGTAGGCTCGGTAACCGAGATCCGGTGGCCTTCCCCGACGCGCGAGAGCATGAACAGCTTTTCGTTCCTCAACCTCTCGCCGTCGGTGGTGGCCTCCGAGTGTGTGCTCGGCGACTTTGGGCTCTCGTATATCTTCTCGGTCTTTGTCCCAACAGCAGTCTTTTTGCTCATCGCGTTATCTGCCAGCCTTGCACGGTTTGTCTTGCAGATTCGCGCCATCTCTGTCCGGCGGGTGCTGGAGAAGACGCTCTTCATTCTCGGCCCGATGCTGTACATCACCTGCGCCCAGTCGTCGCTAGTCCTCTTTGACTGCACCAAGCTGCCGTCAGGCGAGTGGATGCTCGACGCCAACCCGTCGTTCCGATGCTACACGAGCAAGTGGTTGGCGCTTGTACCGTTTGGCGTCTTTGCCATCGCAGCCTACGTCCTCGGCCTCCCGGCGTTTCTGGTGTGGCGGTTGCACGCGGTCCGGCGACGGCTTGACATGCCCGAGGTCCAAGCGCGGCTAGGCATGCTCTACTCCATGTATCGCCGCGAGTACTACCTGTTCGAGATCTGGCTCCTCGGCAAGCGACTGGCTCTTGTGGCGGCCTCGATGTTTGCCTCTCAGCAAGTGGTCTGGCTCCTCTTCGCCCTCATCCTGCTGTTTGTCGCCTCGGCCGGTATCCAGCTCCGGCTCCGCCCGTACAACATCCCGCAGTACAACGACCTCGAGCTTCAACTCAACATCATCATCGCCTTTACTGTCCTCATGGGCTCGTTCTTCTGGGTCGACGACTTTCCCAACGACGCTTCGTTTGCCATCTTTGTTGTCATGACCACCCTCGCCATTGTCGCTGCCCTCGCCCTCCTCACTCGCCTCGTGATGTGGGAGTTGACAGTCAAGGCCCGGGCGCTGGTTGCCAGCTCGTCGAGCATGAGCGCCGACGAAACAGTGGAGAACAGCAAAGCCGACGGCGCCGACCATCGCCAGACCTCAAACCTCTCGTCGGTCATTGACGAGGAGAGCGGAAGTGACTCCCTCGACGCACCGATGGCACCGCCGATGGCACCCCGAAGGCTCGCCTACACCGGAGGCGCAGCAGCGCCAAAGTCAGTCCTGCTACGTCGGTCCGAGGCAGCCCGCGCAACGTCTCCATCAACAACAACGACGAAGCCACAAGCTCGGATAAGGTGCCCTTGTCGGCAGTAGCGGCGACAGCGTCGGTCCCGCGGATGGCGTCACCGTCGAGCAGGCGCAACTTGAGCCAATCGGGTATCAAGACAGCCTCGACGCGATCTCTTGCTTCCCGCCGCCGCCAGGCATCAATCTCGTCCATGCCACGGTCACAGTCAGTAGCCCGCTCGTGATACACGGCGGTCGCCGCGTTGCGTTCACTGCGGATCGCCCTTGGAGTACACGGTCTCGGTCCCGCCCTCGGCGTGGCAAATGGCGCGAGCCACCGCAAAGAGGGCGTCGGAGAGCCGGTTGATGTAGGCAAACGCGTCGTCACTCACCCCTCCCGGCCCGCGAAGACGGGCGACAGTGCGCTCGGCGCGCCGAGCAACGGCGCGGGCAACATGGATGTGCGCCGACGCAGGCGTGCCTCCGGGCAGGATAAACATGGTGAGCGGCGGCAGTGCACCATCGATCTCATCAATAAACGTCTCCATCGCCGCCACGTGCGTCGCCGGAAACGCCGTTGCCGCCCGCCGCGTAGCCACCGGATCGTCCTCGTCGTCCGACTCGCTTCCGTCGCTAGCGCCAGAAGGCGGCGGCAGCGGCGTGGCGACATGTGAGCCAAGCTCGACTAGCCGCGACTGGACGCCCTCCAGAAAGGCATCGATAGCAACCAGCACGTCATCGCCGCCGTCGGCAGCCTCAGCTCCCCGCAGCGCCACCCGCGCCACGCCCAGATGCGACGAGACCTCGTCGAGGCTCCCCAGCGCCTCAAACACCGCGTCGTCCTTAGCCCGCCGCTCGCCGGTGTACAGCGAAGACGTCCCGTCGTCACCGGTCCGCGTGTATAGGTTCGACTTGCTGCGTCCTGATGAGGCCATGTCGTCACAAGGAAATAGGAGTGGTGATGGCGGTGCAACGGGGGGGGGGGGGGGGGGGGAAAGGGGCAGGGGGGGAGGGGGGAGGGGGCTGGGCGAGTTGGCTGACGAGCCCAGGCAGCCACCCGGGTCGGGCCGAGTCGCGCCACTTCGGTACTTGGCGCACGTCCTCCACACTCCACACTCCACTCACACACACATACATACTTACAACCATACAACCATACAACCATACATACATACAACCATACATACATACATACATATATACGGCTGCTGCCCAAACATGGAGAACAAGGTCTCGGTGGTCGAGTTCTGTGAGCGTCATGGGTGCCTGGTCGACGTCAACTCGGCAGACTCGCTGCGCTATGTACGGATGTGGATGCAGAGACTGATGCGGATGCGGATGCGGATGCGGATGCGGATGCGGATGCGGATGCGGTAGTAGTGGTGGTGGTGGTGGTGGTGGTGGTGGTGGTGGTGAAGGGGGTCGCACTCACAGTCATAGGGGTGGCGGTGGTGGGAATGGGCGCTGCGCAACCATAGGCGCTGGAGAACGTGCTGTCGCTGCTGCCCGAGCCGTCGGACGGAACGGAGGCTGCAGAGCGGTCCGAGAAGATCTTGGCGCTACAGAGCGAGGTGGCCATGGCGCAGCAGCTGAACGATGCGCTGCAGCAGCAGATCGAACATGAGGCCACAGAGGTGGCCATTCTGGAGAAGAAGATGGAGGCCCGCCTGCTGCTCAACAAGGTGGCCCAGTCTCTCGCCATCGTCCCGCACACCCCCGCCGACAACAGGCCGCGCAAGTTGAAGAAGGCTCGCAAGACCGCAACAGACTCGGACATCGCCACCAGCCGCCCGAAGGAGCCTGCCCAGGACGACATCGTCACAGCCGATTCCGACGTCGATGCAGCAGCTGCGGGCTCTGGCACCAGCAGCAGCGGACCCGCTTCTGCCGCCGGTCGCCGACGCAGCAAGCGCCGCAAACCGCTTGCAGCCCTGAGCTAGCTTTGCTCTCCCACTTGCTTCAACCAACGAATCAATCACACCATCATGACATCAGCCCGTCGTCCTCTTTCCCCACCTCTACCTAGCTTGGACTGACTCGCTTGGTTTTACGATCTCGACATCACACCGCAAACGACCCAATCGCAGCAGCAAGCGCCACACATGCCCACCACCGCGTCTCAACCTTGCTCACCCACTCCCAAGCTCCCCTCTGAACCTGCTTGTCATCATCGTCCATTTGCAGCATTTCGATGTTGCGGGCGAGAACAGCCAGCTGTTCGCCAAGACTAATTGGCCGGTGGCCAAGTTGACGACCTTTTGCTGATCTTGGCAGTGCGATCACATTTCCTTCGCCAACCCCACCGTCACCGTGCGCATTCGCCGCAGAGCATGCACCACACGCAGTAACGAGACCGTCAGCATCGCCTCGCCACATGCGCGGGGGGCAGGCACGTGGCTGACCGTTGGCTCCTTCTCCAATGCCACGTTGCCTGCCATCGGCATCTGCACCTGAATCAGCTGCGGCGCCACGGTCGGCACCGCCCACCGGCACCGACGCTGGCCCCACAGGCGCCAGGGAACAATCGCCACCCGCGTCCTCCCCAAGGCACAGAGGCGCCTCAAGTCCATCACCATCATCCGTCGTCCAGCAGTCGTCACAGCTCCATCCCCTGACCCCTCATCATCCCGGGTATGGGCCGACTCCATCTCGCGCAGCAGCGAGGCGATCATGTCCCCACTTTGTTGCTGTCAGGTGGCCCGTGGTCCGGCGCGAGCCGCAGCTACACCACCCGACGTTGTCACGTGATCTATGTCAGCCAGCAGTTGCGAGAGAGTGCAGAAGCGGACGGCACGACTGCTTGTCCAGCTGGCGCCACAGGGAGCGTCCAGCGGCGGCGCAGGCCACGCCCGTGGACGGTCACTCCCGCTGCTCCGCGAAGCGCTGGCACGGGTCGACTTGGAGAGCCTTCTTGCCGACGGCGAGCATGTGGCTGCTGGCGGAGCTGGGAGCTTCGGCAGTGCTGACGAGGCCGGGAGCAGCAGTGGTGGAACGGTGGGAGCCGTCAATGTCGCCGAGTGGGTGGCCGGCGCCGGGTCGTGGACGGCGGTGTCTGGCGCGGTGGCGGTGAGCCAGGCGCGGATCGACGCCTTCTCGGCGGTCACACTTGACCCGCAGTGGATCCACGGGGCAGAGGCTGGGCTCGCTGGCTCGCCGTATGGCACACCCATTGCTCATGGCTTTCTCGTCCTCTCGCTGCTCTCGCCGCTAGCGGCGTCGACCCTGCCGCCCATCAAGGGCATGGGCATGGGCATCAACTACGGTCTCAACCGAGTTCGGTTTGTGGCGCCCACGCGCGTCGGCGCTGCTGTCCATGCCTCAGTTGCTCTGGCTGCCGTCAAGCGCATCAACGGCGGCGGCATCGAGTCGGTTCTGGACGTCTCGCTCGTCTCGTCCGATCCGGCTGTAGGCGACAAGCCCGTCGTTGTCGCTCAGTGGCTTGTCCGCCACTATCCGTAGAGAGGGCAATGGATGTCTTGGGGCGCAGCATTAGCAGAAAGTATAGTATGGGGAAGCATCCGCTGCAAGTCTGGCGAGACACTCGTCAGCCCTTCTTCTTTACCCTACGCATCATCGCTGTCGCCAGATCTGCTCTTGGCAGTGGCTGCTCGGCTCCCGGCGGCGGCGGCAACGAGTGAGACACGGTTGACCAGCTCGAGCTCGCGGACCTTAAACTGTTGGGCGGCGTCAAAGTCCTCGGTGTCAATGGCCTCGGCCTTGCCGGCAAGACAGGCATGTAGCGCTTCACGACGGGCCTTGAACAGGCCGGCGGCGGCGTAGTCGGCGCGGGCAACGGCGGTGGCCTGCATCTGGATCAGCTCTGCGACCGAGAGCGGCGCGTCCGGATTGACCGGGAACGTCTCGCGCATCCACTCGAGGGTCTCAGTGGAGACCTCCATCTCTCCAGGCTGCGGCGGCTGCGGAGCGCCGAGGACAGCCTCGAGCTCGGCGACCACAGCGTCCCACTCGGTGCGGGTAGCGGCGGCGGCAGGGTAGTCTTCCAGCGCGAGCGCTTCGGCCAGCTGGCTCTCCAGGTGCTGGGCCTGCGGCAGGATGCGGCGGAGCGCGAATGCAACGCCATAGTCCTCACGTGCAACTGCGCCGGCTTCCATCTCGGCCATCTGTACGAGCGAGAGCAGGCCAGCGCCCGACGCTGCGTGGTCGGCGGCAACTTGGGCGCCGGCTGCCACGGCGGCATACGCCTCCATCACGCTTTCGTCGCGGACGAGAAGCTCGTTGATCTTACTCTTGCACTGCTTGGCCATGAGAAAGTCCTCGTTGGCGACGGCCTCAGCCTTTTCCGCAGCAAACGCGGCCAGCGCCTCGCGACGAGTGTGGAGGACGTGCGCAGCCGAGTACGTGTGAAACTTGAGCGCCCACGCCAGCCACTGGTTGAGCTCGCCATCGGCCAGCGTGCCTCCACCGTCTACACTCTCGACACCGTCAAACGGCTTGTCGGCAAGTACAGTGAGGCTCTTCCCGCGCGGCAGGTGCGGGCTTCCGCTCGCGCGGGCATCAGACCGCCGTGGGGGCGGCACGTGGCTCCCGCTTGGCGGCGAGCCGGCAGCAGTGGCAGCGGCTACAATGGCTGCTGCGGCGGCGCGTTCCGACTTTTGGCGCTCTTTGGCCTCGCGCTGAAGCCGCTTCTTCTCTGCCTTGGCCGCCCGCTTCTCCTCGCGGACCCGCTCGCGCTCGAGGCGGAGCTGCTCACGAACGACTAGGGCCTTCTCGCGCTCCAGCACAGCGAGGCGGGCCTTCTCCGACTCGGCCATTTGCAGCTCGTGCTGAAGTGCCGCTTGCTCACGGGCGATCTGCTCTGCCGCCATGCTCATGTTGAGCGAGGCGACCCACGCCCGGCGCTCGGTCGAGTACGACGACGCTTTGCTTAGGGCGGCGTTTCGGAGAGCAAGCGTCTCACGCTCAAGCACCACCGAGTCCATCTCCTCCAGTAGCTCTTCCAGCCGTCCCATCTTTGCGCACACTCGCTGGACCGAGGCCTCCGCCTCTGCCACCGACTGCTCGACGGCCGGCAGCAGCTGCATGCGCGCCTCAAAGGTGACCCACCAATCATAGTGCTGAGCGACAGCCTTGGCCACCACTGCTGCCTGCTTCTCCAGCGCCTCGGCCTGCTCCGCCACCCGCTGCGTGCCCATAGCCAGCGCCCCATCCGCCACCTCCTTGCCATGAACCAGCCCTGCGCCCGCTGCCACGGGGAAGCCCAGCTCGGCCGACAGCGCCTCCAGCTGCGCCGCCAGCTGAGCCGGCGATGGTCCTGTCCCTGCCGTCCGCTTCAGCTTGTCGAGCCTGTACACCATCCCCCCCCATCCAACCCCGACCCCGACCCCGACCCCAACCCCGACCCCCCGAGCCCGCCATGCCATCGCCATTCCCATCCCCATCCATGTGTGCGTGGGTGAGTGTGGCCGTGACCTAGTGACCTGTCGTCCTGCCTGGCCCTCCCCCCCCCCTCCCCCCCCTCCCCCCCCTGCCCCCCTCTCCCCCCTGCCCCTGCCCCCCTACAGCGTACGAGCCCTCGACAAACGACTTGAACGAGTGCAGCATGCTTCCACCCCACCCCGCGTAGCGTTCGAGCCCAGAGAGCTGTACCTCAACCTCCCCTTCCCCCTTCCCCTCCCCCCCCCCCCCCC